AGTTTCAATGGGAAAATGTCTCAATTTTAACTGTCAGTCCACAGCAAATAATCCACCCCAAAGTGATTAATACCTTAGCTTAAAATACGAATATATGATTAAATTATGATTAAATATAAAGTTATAGATGAAATTTGATTTGATTCGTTTGGCAAAAGCAATGCTCCATCATGTTTGCCCGTTTTGTTGTACATCCTTCATCCCTTATATTTTCTGTACTTAACCACTTTCCTTTGGATACCATAATGGTGTTTAGCCCTATCTTCTCTGTGTCACTGTTCTTGGATAATTTCTCTTAACATATAGTTTATTTATTACATTCGAGGTTCTGTATTTTGTACGGAAGAGGATTAAGGCCACTGAAAAAAAATTTAACTGATTTTTTAATATTATTTCAGCTTAATATGGGGGAAAAGTCAGAATTCTGACTATTTTCTTGGAGTTCTGACTTTAATCTCAGAATTCTCACTTTAATCTCAGAATTTTGGATCTTGATGTAGATGGGCACCATGTAGGAAGAGATGTGGGAGCACTCAGCTTCACTGACAAAGATGTGAGTTGTTTGGGAGGGCCAGTAACACACTGGTGGAAAATGATGGAATAAGGCAACTTTTTATGTGCCTGAGGGGTCCCTGGTGATGCTGTTTTATTAATGGAAGAGCAGAAGGTGATTAAAACAAGGGAGCTAATTTAGTCTCTAGACATGGCTACGGCTTGATGCTAACAGGTTTGTTAGCTGTCAGAATTCTGACTTTATTGTCAGAATTCTGAGAAAAAATGTCGGAATTCTGAGATTAGAGTCAGAATTCTGAGATTAAAGTGAGAATTTTGAGAAAAAAAATCAGAATTCTTAGATTAACAGAATTCTGAGATTAAAGTGAAAATTCTGAGATTAAAGTGAGAATTTTGGGAAAAAAAGTCTGAATTCTGAGATCAGAGTGGGAATTTTGAGAAAACAAAATCAGAACTCTAAGATTAGAGTGAGAATTCTGAGAAAAAACAATCAGAATTCTGAAATTAAAGTGAGAATTCTTAAATTAAAGTGAGAATTTTGGTGAAAAAAAGTCTGAATTCTGAGATTAGAGTGGGAATTTTGAGAAAACAAAATCAGAACTCTAAGATTAGAGTGAGAATTCTGAGAAAAAAACAATCAGAATTCTGAGATTAAAGTGAGAATTCTGAAATTAAAGTGAGAAGTCTGAGATTAAAGTGAGAATTCTGAAATTAAAGTGAGAAGTCTGAGATTAAAGTGGGAATTCTGAAATTAA